GTTTATTGATACAAAGCTTCATAACTTAGTAAACATTATTTGTAAACTACCAATATTTATGATGCAAATATCAAATATATTAACTGCAACTTGTCAATTATCACTCAATTACCGACTTTAAATGCGTTATTGTCTAGCACCATTTTTGTAGTGTCGTATCAATGTCTATATCACATTGTTGGCAATAAGAAATGCTGCCATTAATGTGAGATAAATACAAAGTATATCAGAAGTGCAAAAATTGGTACTAGTTATTTATATAGTTTCTCCTACATTTGAGACGTAACAGGCGACGACTAAGTTTCAGGCTTAACGTAATTAACGTTGTTTCTGACTACGAGTGTTCGTGTATATATCAAAACGTTTCATTTTTTTAGATGCCAAGATGTTTTAGACTTTATTTCTGTAGATTATGAATGAGTAGTTTGTCTTTGAGATTACAAACTGGAAGTTATTCTAGAAATAGAATTGTTAGAGAAGAAAAGTATTGTTTATGATGTAATACCTCAGACATTGAGGATGAATTTCATTTCATTTGTATACTCCGTTGTTATGCAGAGATAAGAAAAAAATATTTGAAAAGTAAATACACCAGAAACCCGTTATTGAACACAAATAATAAATATGAATTAATTCAGTTATCCAAATTTGTTAAAGAAGCACTTGCTTTGAGAAACACACTGTTAAATGTTGAGGGTAACACATCGTATTTGCTCATTCTCATTTTCGTATACCTTTGTTTTTTATTTCGTAGTACATATATTTATTAATTAATTTTCTTGTCACTAGATAAATTTAGATTAGGAATTTTGATAAAAAAATGCCATGATTGCTTTTCCAATTATATTCACGTGATGATTGTAAATATTATTGCATTATAGATGATGTACGATGTACAAATCTTAATAAAGTATCTGTTCTTTTCTGTTCTTGTATTCAATCTGCCAAAATCTCTACTTTATTGGTATATCACAGTTAATTAAGTTTCATATTTAATCAACACAATTTTAATTAAGTCATGTAGCGTTTTTCATTTATCTTTTTTTTCCTATCCATCAGAATTCACAATGAGTGGCAATCTTAATATAAGTAAATCAATTAAATCTATTATTATACAGTTACTTAAGTCAAAGAACCAATTATGGCGTAGATCTACACAGTCTATTGTATCCATCGAATAAAACCAATTTCACGCCCATTCCATCAGACTTGTGTTAGATCAGTCACTCTACTTAATTAATCAAAATGTTGAGTTCTTTTGAACAAGAGTCGTGAGAAAAGAAATAAACTATAGTAATTTTACAACACTATTCAAACAAATCTTGTCCAAGTGGTAATTTTGTGCGTAAACCATCACTGCTTTGTACAGATGTATTAAAAAGTGAAAACGTAATTTTGTGTAACTGCGCAGCGAGAAATTCAATAATGGGCGCGCCAAGATAGATGGTGTATTAGGGAATGAAAAAGAAAGTGTTTTTGACAGATTGACTACACGCCACGTGATATAAATGGCGGAATAATAAACGTGCCGGGTCCGTATTGTTATATTTTGTGTATTGTACTTCTTTAAGGCACAGTATAATTTATTTACTTTAAATTGTCATTTTCATTCTGCTTTGGGATTTTTTTTCTCAATCAATTTCCATTAATAATGTAGCAAAAGTATTTGATCACCTTATTAAATATATATTTTGTCGGAAAATTTTATCAAATTAAATAAATAATATAAAAAATAAGATTGTCAAAAGAAGAGCAATTAATTCATGTTTCTATGTGGTCAATTAAATGTTATGAAAGTTAGATGGTCTTTCCTCTGTACATATGAAATCCGTAAAAACTTTTTGTCTATAATATTACACCTATTTCCATCCATATATTAATTAAGGAACCACAGAAATGGTAGAAATTAACCAAAGACCACATATGTGCGCCTTAACCTGACACATTTCTGGGGGAGGAGGAAGAAACAGAAAAAAACACGCCATATCTGTTTATATTTAGTGTATATTTAAAGCAGCATGCCTCCAGATTTATGCAAATTATCATGAAAATTCTGAAAATTTATTTAAAAGTTATATACATTTGTATTATGCAGTGAACAAAAAAAGTGATTTACACTTTGCAAACGGCTGGTACAATCCACGTTAAATACAAAAAAAGCGGTTAAAATATGCGGAAATAGCCCTTTCTGCGTTAGTAACGCAGTAGAAATATGATGATAAATATTGTAAAATTAGTCTTTAATCACACATAACATGTGAATGAAAAATTGAGTCTTGAATCTTTTTACGTTTATTAAAATCTTAGGACAGTTTGTACAAGGTTGATTTTCTTGAAATATTGTGGCTCATCTGGAGGCATGCAGCTTTAAACCTATATTAAATATAATATCTTCAATTTCCCGAATAATTTCATATTTAACCGCAAACCTTTAGAAGTCAATCTAATGAAATTGAATATCTAAATGTAAGCCATTGTAACATATTTATATTTCACGAAACAAAATTAATCCGAATCACGTCATTTTCTTTAAAAAATGTGTGGACGTTAAATAATATATACATGTTAAGTCACAACCAAAACAAAACAAAAAATTATATTTTGATCTATATATGACAAAATCAACATAATGCGTTTGCGACCAGCATGGATCCAGACCAGCCTGCGCAGTCTGATCAGGATCCACGCTTACAAACCCTATAACAAGTAGAGATACTGATAGCGAACAGCATGGATGCGCAGGCTGGTTGGATCCATACTGGTCGCAAACGTACTATGTTGGTTTTGTCGTGACGCGGCTCATTTATCAATGTATTAAAACAATTATAACGTTGTTTATTACAGTCTTATCTCAGAAGTTATGGAAGTTACTGTACTTTAGTTAGAACTGTTCTATTTTAGTTAGAAATTGTTATCTTATGTAAACATCACCAGTTGGATTGCCATTTATTGCTTATAAATATTAATATTTTCAAAATATTTTTAATAAAGGTTTGTTTTAAGAACAACGGGTATTAGTAGGAATAACCTTAAGTTTATATTGATTGCAGTCTAAATATACATGTTAAAAAGCGTTCTGAACGTCCATACTTCAGACATAAAACTTGGTTTAACATGTATTCAACTGCTTTGTAACTCGAAATGTTACAATTTGAAATGTGATAATATAAATCATTTTTATTTGAATAAGGAATAGTTAATTTACTTTATAACAGTTAAAACATGATGACAATTAGGAAAGAATGTTGAAGTGTGACAAAATGTATTTATTTCGTTTTTTATCGGTTAAGTAGATATAGAATAAATTGTCGATGAACACAAACATGATTTTACAATACATTTTAAATATACATGTAATCTAAAATTATGAAGTACGAGATGTGTACAGTGTAGAACGTAAAAAATAATACATTATACAAATGTATATGTTTAGTTATTCGGCACTAACCAGTAGTATACCTAAGAAGAAGAATTATAAAACAAACATAATAACAAATATATACATGCACTCAATATTTAATAAGAACATTTTAAGCGTAAAGGTATAAGATAATTATTATGAATGTTGCACAGAAGGACCTAGTCAGCCCTTTCAGCATTTGTAGCCGATAAAATATTTCGAACACTTTATTATGGTGCTATTTGTAAGTCGGGTTTTAACCGTTTAGCAAGGATTTTGTGCACCCTCCAGATTTACTAGTATTATATTGTCCTGTAATTTTGAAAAAGAAATATTGTGCAGGGAACAAAGATATTGCAAACGGCACGTACGGTCTATGTAAATTACCAAAAAAAAAAAAAAAAAAGAAAAAAAAGAGGCTCAAAATATGCAAAAATAGCACTTACTGCGCTAGTCGCGTAGCCGAAATATGTTGATAAATACTGTTTTAAATTAGTAGTCATTAATCGCATATAGCATGTATATTATAACTTTAATATTGATATGTGTACATTTCTTGAATTTAATTATATTTTTCTTAAGTTAGATTGTCTTGAAATATTTTTGGCTCATCTGGAGGCGTGCAGCTTAAAGAAAATATTTTAAAAAATATATATATTTCATATAAATATTTTGGAAATACTATTTTTGCAAAATCCAAACAATAATTCTATAAACTACAGGCAGAAGATATACTGTTTTATACACTATGAGTTACACTTAATTATTCCTTAACGGCATTCCAACTAAACTTTTAAAGTAACGTGTTACTTCCGGTATTTTCCTACATTTAAGTCGCATGAAAGGGTTGAATAAATCACCATGTCATATCAATTTAAGTGTTTGAATGTTACGCAGAATGGTATTTTCGTAGACTAACAAAATTACTATTTTTTACTTCCCCTCAAATTTGCATAAATTGCCTACCCGTGCATTTAACGTAGATCTGCGTGAATAAATAAATATTTCAACTCGTTTTGTTTTGAATGAAAAAGAGAAATTTAAAAGGTAGAGAAAAAAGAGAGAAGAAAACGATGTAAAAGAGAAATCAAAGAAGATAACTGAGAAAAAGAAGAAAGAGAAGTAAAAGGGAAAAAAAGAAGAAAAGAGGAAGAAGAGATTTTTTTCTAACTTTAACATATACATGTATTTCGTAATGCATTATAAAATGCATATTGAAAAATGCAACTTTAAATGACAGCATGCGATCGGCAGGTACGAATCTCGCAAGGGCGTTTTGATCCATTTATGTGAGAAAGCTATCCAACCAGCTTATGGAACGTCAGTAGTTCTACTCCGGTGCCCGTATGTGCCGTAAATACTGCATCTCTACCAGTAAAGCTGGAATCATATGATCTTTACAGTATTGGTGCGATGTGAAAGCCCACCAAAATAAATATTGAAACCAACATACTTTTAATCTTTATTTGATGTATTGCTTTCAGATTATTTGAGACTATTTGTACTTCAAATGTACTTTTTAAACATCTTTTTTTAAGATAAATGACTTTTGAATTTTTAAAAAGTTTTAAACTCATCAAGACAACTTTAAAATACAAACCTTGTACCCGTATTGTCCGACAATAATCCGGATATTTCCCCGATGCTTCGTTGTTCTCAAAGTTTTGCCCCATGTTCATGGAATTGTATATCAGCTCATTTCCTGGCCCCATATTCTTCCTCGCTGTCTTTTTATATCAACAAAGTAGCTAGATTCGTAGCAAATTACTTTTCCATTTCAGAATGACTGTTTAGGCGTTTAGTCGTTTCAACGTACATTTACTTTAATAAAATTGCGTTAAATCACATACAAAATTGTTATTTCAAAGATTTACCGACTGCTATTAGCAACACACTATTTTATTTTCCTTATAACTTAAGATATGCCATTTCTAAAGTAAACGATCACACAAACAAACAAGATTTGATTCACAAGAAACGAACTGCTACTAATTACACCCTTCTGTATCAAAGTAAGTATTAAATTTGATTTTTTCTAATGTATCTAACCCTAAAAGAATCAAGTGTTCCCTGCTAAATAAATACCAATTATTTACAAAAATCTTCACGTCAGTCAACGCTAATAAACTTTCCACTACAAATATTTATATCTCTTTAATTTGTATTATAACGATATGATTAAATTCATTATGGATCAAACTATAATTTGAATCGGCTCATTCCCTTATATCAACGTAACAAGAGATCGCCCCGCCCACTAAAATGGTCGTCATTATTTGATAGCAGCTTTTTGTCCCATTATCGCCATACGGGTAGAAAACACGGATATTTGCTTAATCATTATTGGATAGCAAGATGTCCGCGTTTCACTTTATTAACATCATAGACTATGTAACATAAATAAGAAGTACATATACATGTTAATGAAAGCTACTAGACAGTCACAGTTTAAAATTGTCAAATATATATCTGAGCATATTGACAGAGAATTGTTACAAAGACGATAAACTAATTACTAATTGATGGTCATATAGAAATATCTCATTTTTTAAAGAAGAAAAGACCGATTTGTTGATACCGTTTGTTATTCTCTGTCTATTTAAGCCAACGTAAAATTTTTTACAGTAAACTAACTCATACGTTGAATTTTTAGAAGAAGTATTGGTACTTTTATGAATTCCTGTTTGGCATTAAAACGGGGTTTAACATTTCACAGGTACATTGTCCTAATTTACGGGACTTTGTTTTCGAAAATGTGACAAGCTTTGTACCAAAGATATACCGTAGAACTATTGAACATCAACAAAAGTGTGTTCATTTAAAATATAAGTTGCACCCACTATTCTTTGAATATATTTACGGATCTCTTTTCACAAATGTTTAAAGATCTTACTAACCATACGTAAACCGTTGCATGTGTATATTTAAGAATCCTTAAACCACCGAAGTATATACGTTTGTTTTCGTTCTAATAATTTTCAAATTAATGTAATAATTATATGCATATAAAATGTAAAATATGTGAAACATTGAAATAAATATGTTTAAACTAAATTACGCCGAGTACATTTTAGAAACATGACACGTGTTTTCCCGTTAATCCTCAAATGAAGATGACTTGTAGAGAAAATAAAAAAAAATTAACAACAAAATTTCATCATTTTGATAGAAATGTCCTGAAAGATCTAGACTTTTTTATCATTCAACCGCTTGGTGTTATGCTATACCAGACACAAGAAGAAAAGATTTACTTCATAATGAATAGCAGACGTTTACGAATGTGTGCATAGATTACATATTTTTATGGACTCATATGGTTGTTAATTGCATAAGTGCCACCATCGTAATGGAGACCCTAAATATTAAGTGGAGTAAACGAAATGTTTGAGTTCATGTATTTTTAAACGAAATCTCGATTTTGCCGGTTCGGCTTTTTACTTATTTATTTTTATTTGTCAAAAGTTCCCATGAACAACCGTTATTCTAGTTTTTATATCTTAATGTTAAGAATGTCAGATCTTAATCTGATCGAAATAGATATTTAATACTTTACCTTGCTTTACTCTTAAATATTGAAGCAATTTTGATTAGCAAAACTTTAATTAACAACGCTCGCCAAATAGAAATAAAGCGACAGACAGACTGTCTTCCTTCTTGACTGTATTCGTCTTTGATTGAAACTAAATTTTGTTCCATTGTGACAATGCCCGCATTTCTACCTTAAGAGTTGTTCACTTTCTAAAGCCACTTCAGTCAAGGATCACTTCATGGAATATAGAGGAACGTAATGTAAAAGAGGCTTGTCAAATCTAATTAACATAAGGGTATTAACTAAATAAAATGCTCTAAATGGGATTCTAATTGTTTGACGATTGATTAATTTATGACCGACCTAATCTTGATGTTTTAATTTCAAACTTCTGTTACAAAAAAGACCACCATAGTCCAATTAAGATTTGCCACAAATGAGAATTCTGTTCAAATTGCTTGAGAGCCGAATCATTAAATAAAACTAATTTTCACAGACAGTATTTTTTTAATTTATGTCGTACTTTATTAAAGAAAAAAATATTTACAGAATAAAGAATAATTTGATATTAACGCTTTATCCCTGCTTTATGTCGCAACCATTGTGCAGGCCGTTATATGTCGCAATGACGCTATATGCCGCACTTGCCGCTAAATGTCGCACCATTGCCGCTGAATGTCGCAACCGCCGCTAAATGTCTTATTATATTTTGCCGTTATATCGTAATTGTGGCGTAAAATGTCGTACCATTTTCCCTTACCGATCAATGTCGCAACACTACCATTAAATGTCGCAATATCTAAATCATGTTGTATCATAGTTTGGGGAGTTTTCTGTTTTAAATGTTTCAGACTTAAATAGTATACATATGCATACACAGCGCGTTAACTGGAGTGCAGGTATCAGTTACCCACACTCTAGAGCTTCCCCATTTATTGGCTCTTTTTTTCTGGGGCTTACTTATTGTGAGGACGGAAAAAGGAATAGCGATAGAAATATCATATTCAGATGCTCGTTCATTGGTTACTTTTTTGTCTGGGGTTTCTTATTGTGACAACAGGGAACGTGCTTTTATTTTTGTCTATGATACAAAAGAGAAAGAACATCAAAACAATCGACAATCTTATTTATCAGATAGCCTCGTGTTCCGATGCTCCATCGATTACTTTAATCACTGGTATTATGACAACATTAACGTTATGTATGTATATGGTACCAGATAACCATATAACTAACTACATGTAGTTAAATAAGAGGTTAATTAGTTTCGTAACTTGTTAACCTCTTAATCAACTAGTTAATTATGTGGTTAACTAGTTACGTAACTAATTAATTTTTTCAATAAATAAAAGATCATAACGGGAAATAAATGCATGTAAGTGCCTACAACTGCCATCCTTTTATTATTTAACCAGCTTAATATTAAGTGCTTAACTTGTTAACCTTGAATTAACTAGTTGGTTATATGGCTATCTGGTGACAGAAATATGCCACAATACGTATGTGATCTGGGGACTACCTATCTATAAGATAGGAAAGGTCTGGATGTGATGTACAAAGTAATTGGTTGAAATTGAAGTCATCTTAGTTGGTATTATAAATTGACAACCACAATTTATGACAAAAAGCCCCTTGCTGATAAAACACATTTGTACACGTTTTACATTTAGCTACCCATATGTCATAGATTCGAGATACGACATGAGTTTTAGGTAATCAAAAGCACCAAGAAGTTTATTCTATAAAGATTCAATTAAATTAAATATCAGATCAGATTTTTTGGCCGGGTTGAGTTTACTCAGCAACTACTTATCACAGCCTCATGATATTTGGTATACAACATCAACACGTGGTCCCATACTGTGGAATTCGATTTCAGGTCTGTCCCTCATCCACTTCCTGTTTACCGACCTAGTTAAATGTTCGACATAAATGGTCAAAAGTAGAAAATTTTCATACCATCACAACCTCATGATATATGGTATACAAATGCAGCCCGGCCATTTCTGTCTTTGAACAATTTTAATTCCGGCCGAAGGCCGGTCTGTTTTCAGATTGACTTCCTGTTAAATTAAAAGGGAAAAACTGAATTTATGTAAAGTTTCATTGGTCATTAAAAAAACAACTATTGTAACTATTTGAAACAAAACTGGTCAAATAAGAAAAAGATACATATTACACTCAAATGCAATCGTACCTAACAATGATACAAGCATCTTCATGCATGAAACAACACTGACACGGACGCTCTGCCTACTGCGTTATCAAGGCACATGAAAATATGACGTTTTAAATTCTGTGTTTTATTTATTAGGCTTCAGTCTGCCTTCTTTAGTTTTTTCGCATTGTTATTAATTTTTATGTAAACATATGCTCAAGTTATCGTCCTTAGACAGTACTTCGGGAAAAATGACCCCAGGGTAATATTTGAAAACAACGTGTGAAATATATCTCCAATATTTAACGCATGTAAAACGTTTTTGAAACGTTCATGTTTGCAAAATTAAAATAATTATGTTATATACATATAATGAAAAGTAGAAAACACTTTAAACTCAAAATTTTCCAAGAAGATATATATTTTTTCTTATTAGAATTTCATAGCGGACTTAAAAAGACGTAAACATACATGTAAAACCCGCTTGGTTTGCTTTACTTTTGTTGTATATAAACCAATTCAAGACATATCCGTGAAAATTAGCCTCCTTATCAACAGCATAAGGCAATGGCATATATTTTAAGTCTGCCCTTTAGTGAAAGGGCGGACAACTCTTTGTCCCTTTCTCGTAAAAGAAGGGGAATCCTGTGATGCGTGTATGTGGTCGCATTGTCACTTTCCTTCAAACTTGTCCTCGATGCATGTATGTGGTCGCATGGTCGAACATCTCTAATATAATGACAACGTTAACAAAGGCGTTTTGGTACGGAACAGTCTGGTGCAAATTTTTTACTTCTTAAAAAGCTGTTTAAAGTTTTACTATATGCATAGAAGGAAAATCTATGACCCCCGGGGCTTGCTAATTTTGACACTAGGGGCAAAATTTAACCTATATCTATAGATTCCAACTTTTAGGCGCAAGAGTAATCTCCCTTTTGAACCCTTACGCCATTTGCAATGTTATCAAGGGCGGTCAGTCTTACCAATTTTTTATAGCGCGAAAGTAACCTCCCTTTTGAACCCTTACACCATTTGTAATGTTATCAGAGGAAGTCATTTTAACCGACAATGTTTTGAGGCCAACAGTAATCTTTCTTTGGACCCTTTACACCATTTGCAATCTTTTCAGTGGACGC